AGTTTCCCCTTTTAACAAATCCTGAAATGGTTTCATTTGAAACAAAATAAACACTTTTGAAAACACCTTTGAGATTATTTCCATATAAACAAAATCGACAATATTTGAATCTTTTAAAACGATTTTTTATCTCTTAAAGACAATTTCTTTTGAGGAAAAATCTTTGAGTTTGTTCCTCTTGAAAAAATCTTGGAGTTTGTTCCTTTTGAATAAAATCTTTGAGTTGTTTCTTTTGAAAAAAAAAACTTTGAGTCTATTTATTTTGAAACAAAGTTTTGTCTCTCTTGAGACAATTTCGTGAAAAATCTTTGAGTTTGAAACAAAGTGTTGTCTCTCTTGAGACAATTTCGTGAAAAAATCTTTGAGATTGTTTTTTTGAAACAAAAATCTTTGAGTTTGTTTCTTTGGAAACAAAATTTTGTCTCTCTTAAGATAATTTCTTTTGAAACAAAAATCTTTGAATCTGTTTCTCTTAAAATGAATTTTGTATCTCTTGAGACCGTTTCTCTTGAAGTAAATCTTTGAATATGTTCATTTTGAAAATCTTTGAGTTTGTTTCTCTTAACAAAATCATCTTTGAGTCTATTTCTTTAAAAACAAATGTTGTCTCTCTTGAGACAGTTTCTAATGAAAAACCAACCTTTGAGATTGTTTCCTTTGGAAAAAAATTCGTCTCACTTAAGACGGAACCCATCTTTGAGTCTGTTTCTTTTTAAACAAAATTTTATTTCTTAAAGGCAATTTCTTTTGAAAAAAAAACTTTGAGTTTGTTTCCTTTGAAACAAAATTTTGACTTTCGAGACAACTTCTTTTGAAAATACCCACCTTTGAGATCGTTTCTATTAAAACAAATTTTGACTCCTTTGAGGCAGTTTCTCTAGAAATACAAAATCTTTGAGTTTGTTTCTCTTGAAATAAAACCATCTTTGAGTCGTTTCCCTTGAAACGAATTTTGTCTCTTGAAACATTTTCTCTTAAAACAAGATCATCTTTGAGTTTGTTTCTCTGGAAACAAGGTTTTATCCCTTAAAACAGTTTCTTTCGAAGAAAAATCTTTGAGTCTGTTTCTTTAGAAACAAAATTTTGTCTCACTAAGATACAATTTTCTGAAAAACAAAGTTTTGTCTCTTATGACAATGTCTTTAAAAAAAATAATTGAATCTTTTTCTTTGGAAACAAAATTTTGTTTCTCTCGAGACAATTTCTTTTGAGAAAAATCTTTGAGTTTGTTTCTTTGGAAACAAAATTTATCATCTTTGAATCTGTTTCCCTTGAAACAAAACAAACATCTTTGAGATCGTTTCCCTTGAAATGAATTTTGTCTCATTTGAGACAGTTTCCCATGAAACACCGATCTTTGAGAACGTTTCCCTTAAAAAACAAATTTTGTCTCGGTTGAGACAATTCCCTTTAAACGCCGTCTTTGGGTTGTTTCCTTTGAAACGAATTTTGTCTCTTTCGAGACAGTTGCTTTTGAAACACATTATCTTTGAGCTTGTTTTTCTTGAAACACATCTTTGAGTCTGTTTCTTTTGAAACAAATCTTTGAATCGGTTTCTCTTGAAACCATAATCCCTAAAGATGGCCAGCCGTCCTCATCACGTAGGAACCGTGTCATCCCCTGACCAGACCTCCTCATCACGTAGGAGCCGTGTCAACCATAGATAACCAGCCGTCCTCATCACGTAGGAACCAAGTTATCACCACTCCTAAAGATGGCCAGCCGTCCTCATCACGTAGGAACCGTGTCATCCCTCGACCAGACCTCCTCATCACGTAGAAGCCGTGTCACCCTTAGATAACCAGCCATCCTCATCATGTAGGAACCGTGTTATCACCTTTAGATGGCCAAGAACTCTTCATCATGTATGAGCAGTGTCATCCCTTGACCAGATTTCCTCATCATGTAGGAACCTTGTCACCTTTAGACGACCCGAACTCTTCATCACGTATGAGCAGTGTCGTCCCCACCAACACGCATATCCAATTTATAGGAAAGAAAGAGAACCAGACAAAAACGTGTTGTATTGTCGTCTTTACCCTATTCTTGTTAACACAAGAATGTGCAAAGAGGGGCAGCTGTAGACACCCGTTTTTGTCCGGGTCTTTTTTTTATTATTATCATTTATATATTTATTATTATTATTATTATTATTATTATTATTATTATTATTATTTAACTTAGAATTTACATATTACACTGTTTTGCAGGCCAACCCATGCCCAACAAACGAAGCCCAATTGACCCGAGCCCATACCCATCACTCAGCAGCCCGATTGTAAACCCTAACCTTAGGGTATCAACATCCCAGCGCCGCACCAACATAGACCATTCGATCTGGACCCATTCAACGGTCCATATCGATGGTAAATAGGGTTTCACAACCCTAAGCCAATCCAATCGTCGTGCCTCTTCAACGTTCCAGTAGCCGTTCAAGCCGAATATCACCGAGCCTCAAGCCACCGTCGAACCTCTCATCGAGTCAATCTATCATCCACAGTGACAACAAGGCCATCAAATACCAAACCAGTCAGAGCAATCAGAGAAAAATAAAGGAAAAAATCAAAAGAAAATCCAAATGATGTCCTAAGGTACATCTAGCCTCTGTCGACCCTAGTGTCTCGGGCAGCAAATTCAATCATCACAAATCATGGAAGCTAACATAAAATCAAAAAAAGAGAAGGCAGATAAAAGGGGGGAACCATTCGGGGTTCAAGGAAGGAAGGGGAGGGAGTTTTCAAAACAAAAAAAAAGAAAATATAAAGAAAACAGAGAGAGAAAAAAAGAAGCTTACCGAGGAGGGAGGTTCGGCGAAGGCATGCAAGGAGTTCAAAGGTCACCGTGTCTTGTTGTTTCGAGAGGTAAATCGGCAGATTTAGGAGACTGGGGTAGTGTTTAGGCAAAGTGGAGTGGGGTTTTGAGTAGTGGGGGTTGAGATGATTCTTTTGATGGTTGTTGGGCATCTCCGGCCGCCGTGCGCCGCCGTCGTCGCCGCCGTGAGCGCCACCGTCGACGGCGTTATTTCTTTTCTCTTATGTGGGAGTTGAGAGAGTTTAAAACTCTCTAACTCCCCTATGTTTTTCGAAGGCAAGCAAATGAGGAGAAGTGAGTGACCTAAGCCCCATTTTGGGCTTATATTATTCAACCAAAACGGCGCCGTTTCAGCAAGGGACCATCAGCGTGTTTTTATCTTGCGGGGTAACTACACTTTTGGTCCCTGGTCCTTTGTAACCGCATTATTTAATCCATTTAATGAATTTATTATTGTTTTATTTCGAGCCTTTTAGTTTTTAATGATTGCATTTCAGTCATTAATTTGTATATTATGTTTGCTGATATTATAATTTGGTTGTGATATTTATATTTATTTCGTTTTAGTCACTGTCTCAGTTTATTGTGCATTTTCCTTTGATATTCGGATTCGGTCATGGAATTTGCAAATGTTATATATTAGTCACTGTTCATGTTTTATATAATATTTGTCTATATTTGATTCTGGATTTAATATTTTCAAATATTTCAATTTAATCACTGATCCCATGCATTTTATTATCTTTACTGTTATTTGAATTGGGTCACCATATTCGTATATATTCTATTTTAGTCATTGTTTGATGTTTGGTTTAATTACTTTGTGATCTTTTATGTTTCCTTGTTTATATTTTAGTCCTTACTCTTTTATATTACTACTTTTGTGAATGTTGGAATCTGATCTCATATTGTGTAATTATTTTATTTTAATCACTGAATATAACTTTGCATTTTTTTAATTTTTGGCTTCAAGTTCTAATTGCTTTTATTTTAGTCATTTTCTGTTTTTTAATATATTTGGTTTAAGGTCTATTTTATTTTCTTTTGTTTTGGGCATCTATGTTTCCTTGTTTATATTTTAGTCCTACTAATGTATATTATGTCATTTTTGTGGATATTTGACTTTAGACCCAATGTTTGTAATAGTTTCGTTTTAGTCTCTGATTTCATATGATAGGTATTTTGGTAGATGTTCGAATTTATCCCTGATATTTGTGAATATTTTATTTTAGTCATTTATGTATGATTTTATTGTACTTGTTATTCGGTTATTTGTATTATGTAAATAATGTTTTTTTAGTAATGTAAATATTTTATTTTATATTCCCAATTACATTTATTATATTTTTATCTATGTATGAAATATTCAATTATATTTTCAAGAACACGTATGCGTAGAATGGGCGTGGAAAGTACCACTTGGTCGAAGTGGTGTGATCCGGTACGGCATTTTAACGACATAGAAACTTGAAATAAGTCGAGTATATTTTGCTAATTAATTTGTTCAAATGATGCAATTCGTGTTATTTTAAGTGACAATTTACTTTATTTTATGTTAATGTAAATTTCAATTTTGTTAATTTATATATGATTCATTTTTAGTTAATCAATTTATGTAAATGTCATTTTTTTCATTTATATTCGATTTGCATTTTTAATATAAATGAGGAGGGAATATTCTTTAATTGATAAGAAATATTCGAGTTAGTTTTCCCGACGGAGGATTGCTAATATCGATATTTCTTTTCAAGTTAAAGAATTTTCCCTAATAATTATTTGAAGAAAATTAATATTCAATAAATGGATCATAATTTAATTTTATATTTGATTCATACTTTCCACTATCACGACGATATGTAAACGACACAGTACCAATTTTGGGCGTTGCAGGGGTGTTTATCCTTCCCCACACGTAACCGACTCCCGAACCTGTTTTAAATGAATCTTTGGTAATGTAGATCAAATTCTTGTCTTATAAAACTATTTTTCTTAAAATTGTTTTTAAAAGATGTTTTTTGGTATTCGACCTACCTAACCCAAAGGTCGATGGCGACTCCTATTCAATTTATTCCAAATTAATTCCAAAATCACAAAATTTTCAAATTAAAGTCATAATCGTTTTTTAAAATAATATTTAATTGTTTCACTTAAAAATGGTTATGACACTGACAATGTTGAGATGGAGGTTTCTAGAGAAGACGAACCTCTGGAAGTTCATTCTGCACCTGACTCGAATTCTCAAGAACCTCAAAAGGCTCTCAAATTAGCCTTCACACTTCCTGCTTCTTGTTATGCCACAATGGCCATTCGAGAGCTTCTCAAGACATCGACTTCTGTATGCACTTTGCCCAACTGTTTCTTTCGTTCTTCAGTTCTGAATCATAGTATTGAGAATTTATTTCCACAATCATATCTCAACGCAAAATGTCATCTTACTTTTTTCTTTGCCGCATTTGCAGGTTGCATTCCACAAGACACTCAACTAATAAACTTGTTTCCATTCATATAGTTTACGAGATTAGGATCAACCCTCCGTGTTAATCAGGAACGAGAAAACAAGGTTTATTCCGGTACAAATGGTTCTTTTTGGGTACATGTTAGGTCCATGTTTTTATACATTTGACATACTTTACTCCCTGTGCCAACTAGCGTATTCTTTTTCGAACTGGTATTTATGATCTTATAGTCAAAGGACATGTTTCTGGATTACTCGGCTCACTGTTTTCACTTAACAACGCTAGTCGTATGTTTAGTACACAAATATAATCCCTGTAGACATGGTAGGAAATAGCTTTCCTATTACCTGGAGCGTCGGGGGTTCTTTATTACTCCAAAGGAATTCTGCCTCTGAGGTTCTTTATTACTCCGAAGGAATTCTTTTCTCGTACCGGTTTACGAACAGGTTTTTTTCATTACCACAAAAGTTCATTCATCAATATTACCATTCCCCTTGTTTCTAGATTTTGATGAACATGCTGTATCGAACAGGTTTTTTTTCATTACCACAAAAGTTCAGTCATCAAGATTACCATTTCCCTTGTTACTAGTTTTTGATGAACATGCTGTATCAATCAGGATAGAGCAATATAAACAAACAAGCAAAAAATAGACGATAAGTTCGTTTGGTATCTACTTGCACTCCATTATCCATTTTGAGGAAAATTATGGAACTTGATGCACAAGGGGTAACTGTGATGGTGCAGGAAGATTAACTAGAGCCTAGAGCTAACAATTAGCATTTGTTTGAAAACCAAAATGCCTTTCTACTAAGGTACTATCGACTAGAATCATTACCTAAAATCGGATAAGTTGAACTCTAAAAGATTGGTACATGTTATAGCTACGGATATGATACAAACAGCGGCAGTTCATTGGAATTAGTCCTCTGGCTTGGCAGTGTTCTCCTTGAAGCTCTTAGTCAACCAGATTGCAGTTTCCCTAGGGGAGACCTTTCCAGGTCCAAATGGCTTTAGTAGCACACCAAGCTCATCATACCTCTCTTGCTGCAACAACTTCGCACTAAATTCAAGCAATCCTTCCAAAGCCTCAGCACGTTGCTGGAACGATGAGGGGTCAAACTTTTGTCTCCGTGTGTCTGATGAGGTACGGCTAGATGCCCCAGCAGTTGCGTTTTGATCAGAGGAAACACTTGCGTCGTCTCCATCTGCATGAAACATGCTGCGTTGAATTCCTTGCCATGCATCAGCAAACCCGGGATTTATAGACAACTGATCACATATTTGAACCGTACGTTTGTCTTTCATGATCGAATGGTCGACAAAATGTGGCGAGCTAGAGAAGCCCTGTGCAGATTTTGGTGAAGTTTTGTTCATGGGGAAGAATTCATCTTCATACGAGGCTAACGGGAATTCAGCTATCTTATCGATTCGAGGAGCATTGACAGAAACATCCGGTGATTGTATGCAGTGAAGAATGTCAGCATTAGATCGACAAGGTGACTCTCGGACCAAAGTTCTGGTTGGCAGGGGAAAAGTTCTTCGAGTTGAGGGGAGAGGGTTTTTAACCGGAGTCAGCGAAACATGACACTGCACACAATGCAATCAACAGTAAAAACCCAGATTTCAAACAAAGAAAACTTTACAACTAACAATCTCGATGAATGTCTTGCACAAGACGGAAACCTAATAGAATTTACCGAGTCACGGTTGCTCGAAGGCTCTGTCTTTCTCTTTGGATTTGCAGAAGCTTTTGCCAGAGAACGTTTCGTAGTCTTGGTGGCACTTAAAAGTTTCGAACTAATTGGTTTGCAAATAACTGTTCCTTCTTGGTTACTATCCATACACAAAACTTCTAACCTTCTATTCAGAAAATCCGGTGCCTTGTGATGCAATCCTTTGGTAGAACAAACAGAATCTTGTTCGGCTCCGGATATGCTTGGATTTAAAGTCCTATCGTTACCAAACGATCGGTGCCTCTCCCTGTAAACCGAGAACCGAGTATCTACGGGATCCGAAAATCTAGTTTTCTTCATATTGGTTTCAGGCCAAAGCACAGGTAAAGTATTCCTTCTAGGATTATTAATTTTATGATGAACTTTAACAACATAAGACTGCAGGTGCGGATGCCTGAGCAGTTCCTCAGCCTGAAAATCGATAAACACATCGGATGAGAGGAAAAATCATAAACAAATTCCGAAACCATTTATATATCGAATTACAGTTCAACTTGAGGGGACAATTGTACATACACTTGGCCTGAGTTCAGGATTTTTGCGCAGCATGCTTTTAACAAGGCCGCGGCTGAAAAGAAAATCGACGCAATTCATCATCTGAAACTCCGACATGTTCGTAAATGAAGCTCACAAGGAAAAAACCGAGTGTTTTAGGAGGAAAACGAGGCTTACAAGGCACCAGAATATTTTGTTGGAAGCGGAGAAACTATTGATTTATTGATCTTGTTTATCAGTGCTTGCATATCCTGCTCAAGAGATTTAAAGATTAATCGAAAACGGACGTAAAACAAGAAACCGGAAATGAGTAACAATCGAATATGACATCGAAATACTACAAGAAATAAATACGAAATGCCACATTCAGTTATTCTTAGCTGGCCTAGATGTCCCGGTGAAACCATAATAGTAACAAGCATGATGCAGTGAATTCATGAGGACCGAACAAGCAGCTCGAAACATTACAAACAATATACTTGCCTACGAAACGGAATGTTCGATAAGGCAGCCCTGTAAAAGTTTAGAGTAGATACGGTCCCGGACCATATATAAACGGAATATTTTGTAAAGACTATATGCAATGATCGAATCCATATCTTATCGGAATCCTTGTCTAAGAAGTCCTAACCAGACTAAAAAAATGGTGTGTATGCAACAGCCTGCAAATAATTACAAACGAAAGGGTAAAAGAACTTACAAATGCTTTAAATGCAGGCTTGAGAGAAGTCATTTCAAATATACAGCACCCTGGAAAAACATATTTTCTAATCATATAAACACATAGAGATAAGAACAAGAGACGTGTTATCGAGACCGACTGACAAGCACAAGAATCGCCGGCTGAAGCATGTTTACCTAATGACCAGATATCTGATTTAGAACCATACGGTATATCAGCCAGAAGCTCAGGACACATATAGCTCGGAGTTCCAACAACCTTCACAAAAGAAAAACTAGTAGCGATCAATTAAATCGAGTGATGCATGTAATTCTCAAAGGTTACATAATTCATATTTTACTTACAGAGGCGGCAAGATCATCTGAAGTCAGAATTTTGGCAAGTCCGAAATCACCTGAATTGGTGTTGATCACGTTTGTGTTAAGCGAAATTGTAACCTCTATCGAAGGTATTATGCGGAAAAAACTGAAAATCACTCACCAAGGCGTATGTCATGATCTTTTGTCAAGAAGATGTTTGAACACTGAAAAAAATGGAACAACATATCATTAACTATAACTACATCGAGAATTTTCGAAGTGATTTACACCTGCAAGAGAATAAAAGTACGCCACGAACCTTGACATCACGATGAAGAATGTGATTCAAGTGCAAATAGTCAAGAGCCATCAGGAGCTGAACAAGCCACTTGCACAGTTTCTGAACATGCACGGAAGCAAAACTTTCGGAGTTAAGATTTTTCGATGAATAAAGCTCAACACGAGGGAACGGGAAGAGAGTAACAGAAAGAACCGAAGTTATAAGCATGGGGATAAACAAACCTCTTCAGAGAAAAGCATGCCATTTGCTTTCTTTATGGCTTCAGCCCTGTTTTATACAGAAAATCTAATTATGATTTGCTAAGTTCTTCCCAGGTTCTCCGAGTTACAAAATAAATGCATTATCTCACAAATCTCGGCATCAGCAGAAAAATGAAACTTACATGTCTCCACCTTCACAATAACCTATAATAATGCATACATAGCAACCCTGGTATCAAAGACATGCGAACACGTGTTAGTCTCTTCGGGAAGGTTTGATATTTATGTCGTGACAGTTATGGCGTGATACCTTTTCCACCCAGGAATCTTTGTACTCCACAATAAATGGATTTCGGATTTTAGAAATGAGCTCCATCTACATGAACAAATTGAAAGGTCAGTCTACAGATCGAATAAAACTAGGTTCACGCCAATGAAACAAGGCATAGGGCAGCTTCTTTGGACACAACTCTAGTACAAGTTTGGTCCAGCCAAACTTCAACGTTGTTCCATGTCCGAAAATGCTAACACGTTAATCGAACAGAAAGCGATCAGAATCCATCTTTTCTGTTCATCTCTCAGTAATGTTTGCTTCAATAAAATACAAAAGGAATAGTCATACGAACCTCCTGATGAGCAGATCTCCGTGACCTATCGGTCTGGCGAGCAAGACGGATCTTTTTCAACACATACCTTATTAACATTCAAAAGATGAAGCAAATAACCATGTCAAATTGTTTATCTTCTCGTATATTCGATATGTGATAGAGTTAACTATAAATGGAGGACGGACTCGGCCGTACTATCAAACTTACTTCTTCTTTTCATGTTTATGCCTCACAAGAAGAGCTGAACCGAAAGCTCCCTTCCCAATTTGCTCTAATACTTCGTATTGCTCCATGTTGGAAATAAATATGTACTTGACTCCTTTACTGTATTGCACCAAAGAAAACAAGCCAGGGCATTATATTCATGAATCCTTCACAAAAAGCTATAGATGCAAAAGAAATATACAGCAATTTCTCTGTGAATTATACGAAAAAGACAACATCGAAAGAACCGAACTTCACAGTACAACAATTCATGATTGAAAAAAAATGGAAATCAAAATTGAACACATGATACACAGAAAAGCTTAAGTGCCCTTTGCATACAGGTTCAAAGAGGGCTAATCTAAACAATGGTTCAAAACATCTTCAAACAACAATGTTAAAAGGCTTCAAATACATCAATTTCATGCCAGAATCTTGTGTAAAAAGCTTTGTTTTCTATACCATCAAGCTAAATTATTTAGTCCAATTCCAGACTTGATAGCTAGGGAAAGAAGCCGTTTTTCACTTGTATTAAGCTTAATTGCTTGTTGTAAACTTCCTACTTAGGGCCAAATTAGGCAAAACATAAAAAACAGTTGAATAGAAGAGAAAAATTGAAAAGAACGTGTCTGAGTGAAGCAGAACTCAGTAACAAAGTATGAGACAGTGTACACTACTAGTAATCTTCCCTCTCAGCTCCAAAACACCCAGGAGAAGAAATCAAAACAACAACAAATACATTTCATCATCAAGAAAGCAGAGAACTTGGAAAAGGGAAAATGAAGCTTTTAATGAAGAGATGAAAGAAAAACACCCAATGAACAGTAAAGAGAGAAGAAGAAAAGGAAGTATGCAGATTCAGGGAGGGGAAAGAGGACTGTTCAATGTACCTGAGTGTAATATTGATAAAGGGTATATCAGAAGGAGAAGGAGAAGAATAATGTGGACATAGATATTTGAGCAGAAACTAAAGAATTACTGTTTACAGTACAAAGAAAGAGGAGAACAGCACAAGAAGAAGAAGAAAGGAAGGTGCTGCCTGTTGCAGCTGTTTTGTCATTGGCTTTTTTTTAGTTTCAAGGAGGAAAATGACAAAGTTTGTAAGGGAGATTGAACCACGGTATGAATAATATATATATATTTTTATATATTAAAAATCTGAATTTTTTATGGGAAAAGATTCAGAGGAAGAAACTAAGATTAGTTTAATGGAGATTTTAGTTAATGGTGGACAAAGATTGTGGATTAGTGAAGAGTGGGGGAGTTCATAGTTATGTTTAGCTTTTGATGAGCAATATAATTGCTAAAGAAACAAACAAAAGTGGAAACAAAGTTGATGATTAAGACTGTTTTGGAATTGGATTAGGAATTTATTGACCATAATTGTTAGCATGACACTGAGAGATTCATTAAGTAAAATATATATTTACTAAATAAGTTTAATCATCCAAATGTGGTGGAATTCTTTGGAATTACATGAGATTTTTTTCTCTCAGCGTCTACATAGATATTACATGTGTATTACTAATGATTAAAAGAAATTTTAAATAAATAATATTTTGTAATCATTTTAGATTATTTAAAATAAATAAAATTTAAACAATCATTTATTTTACCTTCTTGGTTTCAGGTTTAGTTATAATTAATTCGGACTGACCCGTGTCGTACGTTTAATTTTGATGGGTGAATCTCCCAATGATAATTTTTTATATACACAAAACTCGAACAAAAAATTTTATTTAAGCAATATCAAGTTGTTTTGGCGCTTAAACTAATCAGTTGGTTAATTAAACAATCATTGTTTCTCTTGGCGAGTAATAAAATTATATATTATCTAATTAATATGAAATAAGAAACAAATTCAAATATCATAAAAACTAAAAGATAAAACCTAATAAAATTTGAGGAGTGTTTTAATCAGATTTTTAAATAAAATTAATTACATTTAATTGTAAAGTTACATAATCTTTAAAAAATTAGTTGGTTTAACGAATGATGAATTGGGTTTTTTGGTAAGACCCAGAGTTCGAATTTTGACGTTGTGTATAGAATAAATTGTATTATAAGGGCTGCTTTTCAACAGGTTTTTTAGAATATTCAATCTAAATTAAAAGATTAATGAATTAAATATCAATAATTACGATAAAAATATATAAATTGCATAAAATACCAATATTTAATAAGTATAAAATACCTTATTAAATAAAAAATTTAAAATAAAACCTAATATTAATTATGAATATTAGAATTCGAATCTATTAAGTAGGTTCACGTAATAAACATCTATGACTATATTTTTATTAATTTCAATTTCAAAATCATAAAGGATAATAATTAAAATATTTAAATTGAAATATATCCAAATTTATGATATTTAAATCTATAAAAAAAATAAATGAAAGGTGAACATATGAATTTGTATTATTTGTTTTTACCCAATAAATTTATGGAGGGAAACAAATAAATTAAAGTGAATTGTGAGAAAAAGGAAAAAGGCGGGTCAAAATAGGAATCAAATTAACCCAAAGTAGTTGTTTGATATTTTTATTACTTCTATGAATGACTGTTATGAAAAGGATAGAAAGAAGTGTAAACCCAAAGTGGAGTCAAAGTCTGAAAAAAATTTAAAAAGAAGGGTTTGCTCAGTAAATTTGTCAGCTTTTGTGGGGGGTTTCCCTAATTTATCCTTTCTTTTCCCACTCTAACTAAATTCCAAGCACTAAAATAAAAATGACTTTAATGTCCAATTATTTATTTTTACGATCTATTTTTCAACCTTTGACATAAAAGGGAGACAAATGGGCCCCAACACCTCCCCAACTTAAATTGCCAAAAACGCCCTTTGATGTTTATCGAATTGACAAAGAGTAGGACTCAGGGTTTTTTTACTAGTCTAAGATAAATATAAGATAATATTTATTCGAAAAAGTTTTAATTATTTGACAATGAACGTTCACTTACTCTTGTAGATGTTTTTAGACCTGATATTTTAAGATATAACAACAACCTAGAATTGGGTTCACTTGGTTCGTGTCGGTATGATTTATTCGAGATGGGGTTGAACCTGATGGTATAACCACGTATAAACTCTCTGATTGGAGTTAAAATATATAAAATTAAATAAATTAAATTTCAAATAACCCTAGTTAGGGGATGATACATGTTACCATCTGATTGAGAGTTTAAATTTATTGAATTAATTTAAAATCAGGATTAAATTGATAAAATATGTAAATAATGGGGGCTAAATATGTAATTATATTAATTTTATCGACATATATGTCATCTCTTCCGTTAAATGTTAACGATAGGTAACTTGATTGATATCAATTAAATAATTAGATGATCTGACTGACAAAATTAAAAGATCAGTAGTTAAAATAAAAATTAACGATGATTAAGTGGTCAAAATTACAGTTTACCATAAAATAAATACTTAACTTTAACCTAATAAATGGAGTAATAAAAGAATTCTGAGCTTGAAAACATAGTAAGTTTGAAAATCGAAGATCACTTTGATTTATAACCTCAAATGGCCTTGAACTACGGGATGGGGCTAAAATCATGAACCATTTTGATGTAAAGATGAATTGTGAGTGGTCAATTTCATATTGCTTCACATCGTACCAAAACAAGGCTAGGGTAGGCTGCGCCTTTGCTTCCTTTCGAGATTCTGATTCCCCCATAACCCTATCATCAACCTCGGCTAAAGCAAATCACCACAGAGCCCTATGCTATTGGGTAATTCTAATTTAAAAATAAGGATAAATAAAAAAAAACCGAAAATATATTTTTTGAGTATTATTTGACATATTTAAATGAATTTAGATCTTAAATTTTAATTCTTACGTTATAAACTATAAATCTTAAATTTAAATCCTAAAATATATACCCTAAAATTTATAATACTATATGTTAAATGGGATGAATTACATTAGTACAATCTCGCCAGTATAATATTTTTTCTTATTGAAGAAGTTCAAATTCATATTCTAAGATATTTAGTGAAATAATCCAAGCGAGAAAAGGATTTAAAAAAATACCGGTAGAAAAATAGTTTGGAATTTAGGTTATTTGTTACGGTAGATATGAAAATTCGTCGAGTGAATATAATGAATTCCATAATATAACCAAGTTAAAAAATAAGGCTCATAGAATTCGTCTCGTCCGTATGACGTGTTTTAATTTTTTTAATATATTTTATAAAATTTATTATTCCTAAACGATGAATTCTATGTATATTATAAAAGATAACCTAAATCTCAAATTAATAACCCAATAAGTATATTTTCCTAATATATTTTTTTTTTGCGCCACAATATTTGTCTAAATTTGCCAACAAAACGTACATGTTGAGTAAAACATAGTTCACCTTGTGAGGGTTCAACAACCTTATCCACAATGAAAACTGGTAGACACTGAAAAGAAGTGACATTAAAAATGGTCAAAATCACCATGAAAAGTGAGCCTTCAAGGTACAGATTAAATGGGAATCGCAGCATCTTAATTTAGAGGGCTGATCCCACCAACTTATTGAATTTTACCCGTGAAGTGTTATAAAAGAGCTCAAGTTTTACGTGAGTGGGGGTGTCATTCTCAACCACTCTCCTCGTCATAATGTATTTGCCTCTTTTATGGCTCACCTATATCAACTAAATGAGATTACCAACTTCGAAATGAAAATGGATTAATAAAACTATAATAATTATAGATGTTTACGAGCCAGATTAGGTTTACATCACACTTATATATAATATTAGTATAATGAGTAAATTATACCTAATTATTTTTTCAAAATTATGCTTAATGTTATGTTTGGTTATGCTTTGGTCACCTATCATTTAAAAAATAACGTTAATGTTGATGCGTCATCATCATGGCCGTGGCTGAGGCGGCGCAAACTGCGCGACAGCGCAGGGCCCCAAAAAAAATATATATATAGTGGCGTTTTACCAATAAACGCCACTATAGATGGACCTATTGCGACATTTTTTCAAAAAACGTCACTATTATTGCGGCTTTTTTGATAAAACGCCATTATAGATGGATCTATTACGGCGTTTGTCAAGAAAACGCCACTATTGTTGTCCCGAAATCGAATATATCTAGAAAATAGGGGCCCCTTTATACGAATTTATACAGGACCCCGAAAACCCTGCCACGGCCCTGGTCATCATAAGATAATATTATGTCAGCAATACAAAAAAAATGTCATGTTCGTATCACCGTTAATTTTTTATCGATTGGTGACTAAAACATAACCAAAACATAAAACTATATATGATTTTAAAAAATAGTAATAATTGAATGACCAAAATATAAACTAAATAATAGGCGGGTGAAATTGACTGTAACATGATTTATAACTTTTTTTATTTATAAATGAATAGAATGATATTTAATATATTGATTTTTTTATTAATTTAAGGTGATTTCTTAATCATTTGACAATGAATGTTCAAATACTCTGTAGTCAATGGTGCTCGAACTCATGACCTTTAAAGATAATTATCATCTCTTTAATCACTAAGTCGCTTAATTGGTTATGATAAATTGAAATTTTAAGTGTTAAACCTAATTACAATTTTTTTTATTTTTTTATGGAAATTATGTTATTTTTGTAAAAGATTTGGAGATGAATTGGCTAAAATCAAATTCGGAATTATGTGTCAACCATGACTAAAGTAATATGCTTTGTCATTACACAACAAACTTGATTAAATTCATTGTTAACATCGTTACGCTGAGATGATTATAAAGTAGTATATATTATAAATACTTTCAGCTATTTGAAAATGAAAGTTCAACCGTTCTGTTGTAGTGACTGATGCTCGCACTCGTGACCTCTAAGATCAATAACAATTTATTTAACCACTGAAGTAAGTTGGTTCGTGTAAAAACTCAAGCATTGAACGTTGAACTCAAAACTCAATTTATATTTTCATCTAATTAAATTATTATTATTATTTAATTGTGCATTTAATATTTTTATTTCATCTTTCTAAAATATATAAACAAGATTCAAATCTGATTGAATAACCCAATTTTTGAATCAATCTTAAGAAAATGTACTCTCTTTATTACTTTTAAATAAGTTTT